AAAAAAAAAAAAAAAAAAAAAAAAAAAAAAAAAAAAAAAAGAAAAGAAAAAGAAAAAGAATAAAACAGGTTTTAGATTCAGCCCAGGCCAAGTCGAATCGACACATTCCGCTATACACGAACCGCAACGGCGAAAGGTTGCAACACACGTAACTATCGGTTTGTGGCACTTTCGAAATTACGTCACATGTCCAGGCCATATCTAAAGGGGGATTCTCGATTCCTACCCACGAGAATTTCATCAATCGGCGCCGAGGGTTCGCCAAGGCAATAGCCAGATCCGTCCGCGAACAAACAACCGTCGAAATCCAGTGAAAGTCCCAGTTTAATTGACAGCAACAGCCGCTTCAAACTTCTTCTTTTTCTTTCTCTTGAACTTCTTCTACTACTTCTTCTTCTTCTTCTTCTTCTTCTTCTTCTCTCCTCGGCGGAAAAAAAAAAGATCTGTGGGATCTCCTACCATCACGTGGCTCGTGTGCATAACACCGAGTTTCCCCCGGCCGAGCAGGCTACTGTCACTTTCAAGCCGACAGTCAAGCCGACACAAAGGAACGAGGTGATCAATTCCACGCCACACCGAAAATGATCCTCGGTGACGAAAGTGACGTGTGACGAGGGAAAAGTTGGGGAACAGTCGAAAATTTTGAATAGACAATTGGACGGGCCAGAAGGTGAGAAGGAAAATTGTGATTCGCAAGAAGAATTGAATTATCATCTTGATCTGTTCTGCGGAAATTGGAGATATATAATTAACGAAGAAGGGATAAGATTTGTTCCGAGGAGGGAGGATTTGATCGCTTCGAGGATAAGGACCGTGTACGAAGTTTCGAAGAATATTCATCTTATATTTAAGAGGATTTATATATATATCTATAAACGAGACCTGGATCGAGAAGCTGCGCCAATCTATCGGATGAGTGATTGCGAGCAAAATCGAATATCGAATATAAGTTAATTTCGGAAAGGTGGATCGCAGAATCAGCGTGATCAAGGGTTTAATTATTAGATAGAAAGAGAGAGAGAGAGAGAGAGAGAGGACTGGCTACAGAGAGAAGCGGCTTTTGATGAAATTGATCATTCATCGTAAAAAATTGGAAATCAGTGAACCACCTCTGAGGTGGAAAGAAAGAAACGTGTGGAAGAGAAGATATAATCGTAAAAGCTAATTCCAATCCTGAAGAAACTCTTCTGTCCCAATCTTTCGAAGGGAAAGATACAGAAGTGAACAAGAGAAGGAAAATATTAATCGTCAGAGACTTAAAAGGCGAATTAACGAAAGGAGATAAATTATCATCCTGTCTTATCGTGTGTAGTTTTAATTGCAACGAGAAAGTGATATTCGTTGTATGCAGGAAGTATACGGTGACCAAAACACAAGCCATAAATACAAGCAAAGATCCGTGATCGTTTTTCCCCTCCCCCATTCAATTAGCCTTTATGCGATGGATTGCGCGTTGTTGATCTCGCGGAAGTTTACATGTTATATATTTGTGACGGGAGGTTGCATCATCTAGACCTCGAATCCGATTTTCTCTCTCTCTCCCCTCCCCTCATTCTTTTTTTCTCTCAAATGAGCGAGAGTGAATGAGTTGTGTAGACCGAGTCGAGCAGCCGATCGCTGAAAAGAAGAATCAGAATGCTTGCATACGTGTCGAGTATCATCACAACGTTATTGTTGGAGGGTGAAAGGGTCGTCCCTGGACAGGAGAAATACAACATGGCGACGTTCATGGTGCTCTTCCTGTTGATCACCATCGAGGTTGTCGTCGTGAAGGTTGTCACGTCCGACATGGAGAGGGACGAGGAGAGCCACGCCGGTTTGAGAGCTGCTGCCACATTTTTCGACCGAGATTGATCCTCGTTTCCCCGTTTCATCGTCGTTTCCACTGTCAAAATTGAAGGGATAAAAGAATCGTATCGCGAGGGATACAAAGTGATGAATTCCGTCGAATTTGTTGTACAGTGAAATTTCATCGAACGAATTTAATTAAGCAACGATCTTCTACGTGTTATTTTCCACGATGATTTAAATATTCTGCTGTTAATTTTTCTCCCTAATCTTACTCGATTTTAATCATTCCTTAATGTAAGAGAACGAAAGTGGAGTGCATTATATCATCGGTATATTATTAATTTGTTATTTAGTTACAGGAACTTGATAAGATTAGAGGAATTTATGCTTCGTTTATAATTCTTTTTCTTGCAAGAAAAAAAAAAATTACCAATCAGAAATAGCGAAAATGTACGTGATTTTATCGTATCGAGATTAACTCATAGAAAAATAATAAATCGGAAAGATAAAAATTTTAAAAAATTCGAGAATCGCAGAAAAATGTGTCCACGACGATGGATGCCAATCGGCGGCACGCGAGGCGGAGGAAATAATCGAGGCTCGTGGAAATTAAATCTCCTGGTTGGTAATCTCTTGTATCCGTTTTATCCTTCTTGATTCTGAAAATCAAGGTCTATAATTATACGGGCGAAAGTGGAACAAGGATTCTTTCGGAAGAAATGGTTCGAGGGATCCGATTCTCTGTCCGATTGCGGCTTCGGAACAGATCGAAAGGCGCGAAATTATTCTCTCTAACGTCTGGCGTTATGCAATCGAGCGGTTGTCATGGAAAGTTAGCTGGATTTGATATATACACGCAAGAAAGCATTTCGAAAGTATATTTATTTAGACTTGTTGGTGTTACGTAACGACGCGTGCGAGTATTGCGCACGGTTATGCGCCGAAGTTTTAAACTGTGCAACCACTGTGTCGATGTAATTCGCGACACACCAACACGCCTATAATATAATTCCAGGCTTGGGCATTGTTTGTCATCTTATTTTACTTTTCTTTCTTTCTTTCTTTCTTTTTTTTATTATTTTTTTTTCCATTTAAATTATCACATTCGTATCTTCGATATTTTTAATTTCCTTTGAGAAATTAAATTCTTCGTCAGAATTATTAAAAAAATTAAAATTACTTTTCTACTACTTTTAATTCGTGAAACAAGCGAATAATAAAATAATGGGATTATCTCGTATTACGTTTTTAATATCGTTTAAAATTGCCCTTTCAAACGATATTAAATGCTTGAGCCTGTGGTATTTTTATCTAAGTTAGGAAGATGTTCGTTGATCAATTGTAAACGTTGGTGTTAAGTAACACCATATATATCGAGGTTATTTCATAATGATACAATAAAATTCTTTTATTCACGTGTATCTTTTAATACTATTCCTTATCATTTCGATCGAGATGTAACAATACGTAAATAAGAAAGTAGTAGTGGTGGTAATAATAGATATAAGCAGCAGAAACAGATAAGCAGCAGGAAATTTGATACAAACAATTTCGAAGAAAATCAAAATGTGATATATTTTCCATGAAGGATTTCGCCAATAATAATTTATCGTTATTTAACGTTTCAGGAAATCCGGGGATTCGAAGGAAGAGGACAATGAAATTCCTGTGGGCGAGAATCGTTGCGCCTGTTGCCTGAGGCCACTTTATCTGGGCCGTGGGGTTCGTTGCAAGGACTGCGGTGAAAAATCGTGCAGAAAAGGTTGCTCCCGTTTCGATCCCTCGGACAACGCTTGGCGTTGTATCTTTTGCCGTCAACAAAGGTTTCTCCCAAAGATTATTGTTAATTCTAAACAATTTATGCAATTTTTAATTCTTCCAAGTTGTTGTCATTTTATCCAATTAATTTGTTTTGCAATTTGTTTTCGCGTAAAATACACGTTTTTAACGAGAGAAACGTGAGAAAGATTTATCGATGAAAACATTGTCAGGAATTGGTTGGAGAGGCACGGATCCGAGGCGTTCGGTGGATCGATCAGTCAGGAAGATCTACGTTTGTACTTCAATACGGCAAAATCAAGGGTTTACGTAGCAGGTTTGTTCATCGAATACGAATATTTCAATCTTCGATTTTTTTTATTAAATTTAATATTTCTCTTTTATTAAAATTAATTTAACGCAAAAATTATTGCAATAATGTAATCTCGAAAAGGTTGGTTAACACGTTTAATTCGATATTATATCTTTTTTTAATCGTATATATACGATATTCTGCTATTAGAAATACGCGCAGCAGTGGTTCTCAACCAACAGTGGATACCAGAAGGAATATTCGATTACACGATATTATGAAAGGGGATCACGATTGAAAAAAAGGATTTAGAAAATAAAGGAAGTAATCTAGATTTGTGAAGAAATGTCTGCGATTTCCTATCTTTTTATTTCTTACATCTGCATGTATTGGAATATAAATCTGCGAATGTAAAACGTATATACAACACATATACGTTTTAACATGTTGACATAAAAATATAATCGCATCGATCTTGAAGCTGTGGAACAGTATCGAATCGCAAAGCGTTATAAATTTTCGATACTCGCGATTCATACATTCATATCGTGAATTATCGTTGATAGAAAAATAGTTGTAACGTAATCGTTACAATTGTTTACTGGAAATAAGTCTGGAAGTCATTATACAAGAGATCATATTGTATAGAAAAGAAAAAAAAAAAGAGACTCGTATAGAGAAACTGGTTTTCTTGGTAAAAAGCATAAGATGGAACTATTTCAATTAATACGTATTTATGGGGGAAAAAAAGCAAGAGGACAAACTTGTTTCGTAGCTCTACCATTATTTCTATCGTGTAATTCTTATACAACGATTTATTGGGATCTATAAAAAAAAAAAAACGTTTCGCTCTTGGAAAAAATTTTGTTAAATTTGATCGAACAAATTGCACCTTTTTTTATAGTTATTCGATCTTCTTCTTCTTGCCATCACGTTTTAATTTACACACATATATATATTTACACAGTTATATCTATTCTGTTGAACAGAAGATGGACAGAAATTTAAATCCTTGCAAATTTCTCGATATCTTTAAAAAAAACTCCACACCGATAAATTGGCGAGAAGAATTTCTTAAACCGTTTTCCATATATCTGTTGAATGAACGAATAAATGAACGAATCTGTTCCACGATTCACGAAAAATGATGAAAAGGAAAAATTAAAATTTTCAAGCGGAATGGACTTGAAACCAAGTTGAAATCGTCATATCTCTCCCAAGTTCCCAAGAAAATCGATCCGACGATCTTCTTATAAATAATGCAGGTTTCAAGGCGACACAAGGGTGGAGCATTCCTACGTGTTCCTCGCTAATGCGGCGGGCTCGGTGAGCGGGAACCGAGAAACGATTGTCCACGGTTGAATCGTGCGGTCAATAATGGATGGTGGACAATTGTTCGCCGTTCGGGCGAGATTGATTTGCAGGTTGGGGACCGTGAGCGCGGTGAACGATCGACGAATCGGTACACGGTGCGCATACGTAGCGAGGGAAGGGAATTTAAATCGGGGAATTTAATCGCGAGTTTCGCCGTATTCGAATTTCCACGATTCGAAAGGAGGGACAACTCTTGTAACTTCGAGGTACAACGAAGATTGGTCGAGGTTAATTAAACTTTGGAACGATTAATCGCTCGGATGGAAACGTGTTTACTTCGATTCTGATCTATCGGCTTTTGTTGTCGGTTATCGGTGATTGTAGGAAAATTTGCGAAATATTGTTTATCGAAGTTTTTGTTAATAATCAATGGAGATAATTGGATTCGATATATTTTGAATCGGTGATTGATAACAATACGTTGTATGAAAATCGGTGAAATTAAATTTTTGATCGAGTTTGTTAAGAAGGTACACGTGGAGTCGTGGTTATTCTTTCCTTTTTTTTGCAAATATAATAGGAAGATTAAAATCTAATACTGTCGAATTGAAATCTTGATAAGAAAGTGGTTTGATATTCGCCAAAAACTTCTTATTTTCTGCTTAAAATTTCATTACACTCGAACTCCGATTCGAGGCTAAGAGATTATCCTTTCTTTTTCGAACTTGAATCCTTCTTCAAGAACGGATTAACGAATATAAAAGTTCCACTAATAACTTCAAACTACGTAAAATTATTGAATTTAGGCGAAAGTATAAAATAAAGAGAAGAATGGATTAATCTCCAAATTATTCGATATCGAGAGGAATATAAAATCGAATAATAAATATAATTCATCAAAAAGAAGAAGAGGAAGAAAAAAAAGAAAAAAAAAGCATTAAATCAACGGTTTAACGCGGCAATTTGTCACAGGTTTGCACGAGGAAGATCTGAAACTGATCTTAAATCTTGGGGATTTAATTTCAGAGGCTAATTGGACAGGATCTCTCTAAAAGTGGAGATCGGTCGTGAAGAGAAAAATAAAGAAAAACGAAATCAAGCCCGGTAGATAAAAGGGTGAGAAAGTCTCTCTGGAAATGTTAATTGTCGGTGGAATCTGCGTCTCGAGCCGCCGCCATTCTCCACCATTCTCGGCCGACCGTCCTTGTTCCTAAGCCAGAAAAGTCGTGTAACGGAAGAGGCAACAATAAGAACAGGTCGCGAAAATAATCTCACGGTTGATTCCTTGCAATGCTCATTGTTCCCTGCTCAAGCATACGCGATCTTTTCCGCGTGAATCGTATCGGGAACGAGGTTGGGACGACGACGGGATAAAAGTCGAGTTGATGAACCCCGAAGTGGAAAAACCGTGGAAAGGATTTTTCCTCGGCCATTCGAAAATTGCCGGATGAATTCCTACGGCTATGAAATTCCTTGCTTGCCCCGTTACGAATAACCGGCCTACGTGCAACTTATGATGCGGGTCACTCGTATCGTGACTCCGGTTGACAAGAAACTAGATTCTTGTGTTGGTGAGTTCCGCCACGGATTTTTGCCTCCTTTATTCGTCGACGATTATCTTTACGATGCACAAACAGAAGAAGAAGAAGAAGAAGAAGAAAAAAAAGAAATATAAAATGTTCGTCGAAGAGACTTGAGTTGAGAACAATCGAGGCTGAATTTTGTCGAGGAATTTTTATTAGAAATTGTAGTAGAGAAAAGAGAGATCGTATTTGTTAAGTGGAGGAAATATTTGGATTTATCCTTCGACTCTTGAAATTTCTAGAAAAAGAAAGAAGGATTGGCAAAAGGAGAAATAGAAGAAAAATAGAAAAAAGATCCTGTAAATTCTTTTTCTTCTTCTTATTCACAACGCATGTCACAACGAGAAGTTACGTAGCGTCGAGAAACTTTCTTAATTTCGAACAAGTTTGAAGGAAGCTTAAAGGATTCGTGGCTTTCGAAAAGTTTAAACACGAATTTTTAATTTCTCGTACAAAATACAAGATAATAAGTGAAAGATGCGAGAGAATATGAAATTGAATTACATCGCAAGAATTATATAAAACTCTCGAAGGAGACAGAATAGTTCATTTGTTTCGCGTACCATGGATGCACGCATCAGGTTTCTTCGTTTCTACAAGGTCTATTCCAAGGATCTGTTTCTTTCGCCAAACATGGTCAGAGCACGATCGTGGCGAACAGTTTTGTCCCTGTTCGTCGTTTTTCGCGAGCCGAAAGATCCACTCGCTCGTTATTTCTTCTAGGAAACCGGCGACGATCCCGCCGCATTCCGCCGCGCGAAATTTCAGAAAACCTGATCCTCCTCCCATCCGATGGATGAAATTCTTATCATCCCGTTGACAACGAGATGTTTTCGATTTTTTTTTCTTTTTCTGAACAATAAACACGTGTTCTGGAAATTTTGATCGAATATCGATTTTTCGATATTTAATATTTCAATGGATAAATAAAAATGTTGCTTTCGTGCAAATATTTATTGGATATTTTATAGGTATATTCTGTAAAATTTCCTACAATTTTTTCCAATATATTTCAAGGATATACGTCCTCAATATCTCCACATCTTGCCTTGGCGATCTTCGTCAAAAGATCGAGCAGATCTTCCAATTTAATATTTCCAAGAGATCCATATTTTCTCTTTATCTTACACAAGAATCACCTTACATTCTCTATCTCGACATCGCGCAACTTACTCACCGAACGAAATATATACAATAAATTACCTCACTTTATTTTCTCAAATTTTAATATATCTTCTTTGCAAAAATACACCTCGTTTAAAGAAAATATTTTCCTCGACGCACAACGGTTTCTATATTGTAAATTACTTTTACGATATCAATTGCAAATCTTGTAATCAGTTATTCATAGTACAAGAGGATACAATATCGTTCATTTCAAAAGGGAGTGGAGTAAAAAATAAACAAAAATAGCGAAATTTACATATCTGAATCATAGAAAAATAGTAGAAGCGAATAAAGTTAAGGAAGGGAAGGGATCCATCCATCGATTAGAAAGAAGATTAGAAACCATGGGGCCGAATTCCTGCCGGTTTTCGGGCCGCTCGCAAGCGGAACTCCCGCGCGCCTCATCGGTCTTATTGTCTCCGGGCCCGAGGTGGCGAACCTCAGTTCTGCTCCAGTACTCTTGGAAGTAACATCGCGCACTCCCGTAACCCTTTCCACCTCTTTCTCTGGCATCCCCGCGAAACGAGACCCGTGAAACGCGTCTTAATCGAATCTCCCCTCCTCCCCCTTAATTTCCTCTTTCTTTCTCCCTTCTCTCTCTCTCTCCTTCCCCTCGTGCTCTTCTTTCCGATATTTTAACTTAAAAAAAAAAAAAAGAAAAGAAAAGAAAAGAGAAATAAAAAGATTTGTTCGTCGGGCGTTGTGTAACCGCAAGGTGATTGTCAGGGTCCAAGGCGAGGTGGAGGATCGTGTATGTATGTATCGATAATTGAAACGTGCACGCGAAGGACGGAAGTCGGACGGACGGACGTGCGTGAAAGCAGGTCTCGTTGGTGAAAATCGACGAGGGGGGAGGACCTCGTGTTTTCTTTCAGTTTTTTTTTTTTTTTTTTTTGTTTCTTTCATCTTCATCTTCTTCGTCGAGTGGAAAAAACGAGGAGGAAGAGGAGGAGGACTCGAAGAGAGGCCGGAGAAAAAGAAAGGTGGACGTCTCAGTTGTGTGGATGAAGAGAGGTTCGAGAGATATAACCGGTTTTGCGGCGTTTAGAAATGGAAAATACCCGACAAGGACGGCAGAGGCGCGCGAAAGTCGCTAATACCTAATCAAGAATGAGGATGGATTGAAAGGATTTGGAACGTTTGGGAGAACGCGTGTTTGAAGAGGGGGGAGAGGGGAAAAGTTGATTGGAAACCGTTTCGAAAGAGTTGTGAGAATTTTTCTCGCTTACTTTTCTAAATAAAGTTCCTTCCATTCAACGAACGTGCTGTTATATGATAACATTGCACAGTTGGCGAAAAGAGAATCTTTCTCGAGGAATCTTCAAGTATTTCAAGTATTTCAAAAAAAAAAATTAAAAATGGAACTTTAAAAACTTTCTCAAATTCATCTATTCCGCAAGAGACGCAACGAAAAGTATCAAATTAAAATAACTTAAAAAAAAAAACTTGAATAAAAGAACTTGCTTACACAAATTTAAAAAGAATCGTCTAACAGAATAATAATAATAATAATTTCCATTAAAAATTGCATAATCGATCTTCTCGTGCCTCAACAAATCATTTTGCTCGAATCAAAACTTTTTCGAAACATACGAAACATACAGACCCCCGATAAAGATGGACGAGTAAAAACTTATCCTACCTAGTGATAATGATCGATGGATAGGAAAAAAAAAAAGAAAAAGAAAAAAGAAGGAGCATAGAGGATCATCGAGAAGGTTAGAGAAGGTATCTTAATCCGCCGGAAGGCGAGAGGTACGACGCGCGCACAGTGGGAGGGGCGATCGAGAGGAGAGGATATATCCTCGAGCAAAGATCGATGTCTGTTCGCGCTCGAGCGGCCTCGAAGCCGCCGTGTGATAACTGATAAATATACCGGTCTCTTGCGGTACCCGGTTAAGAGAATGCGGTTACAAACGCGAAGGGGGAAAAAAAGGACCACGGTGGTAGATCTTTAATGGTCGTCGATACTTTCGTTTAGAAAGCGCGGCCGGCCGTGTCAGTTGGACGGGGATTCGCGATCGTGCCGCGTCGTTCCCTTCGAATCGATACCTCGAATCGTCGCGCGCCGATTTCGACCACCACGGTCGGCCATTGTAAACAAACCGTCCGTTTTTCTTTTCGAAAATGTGCGCGGCGACACGCGCATGGATGAATATTCGTTTCGACGAAGGGAGAAAGTTTCT